GCACTACTTTAACTGCATCCCACACATTTTGGTATATTGTATTTTCATTTTTGTTCCATTTAAAATATTTTCTAATAGTTGTCTGTTTTAACTCATGAATTATTTAGACACACAGTTGGCCCTTGAACAGCCTGGGTTTGAGTTGTGCAGATCCACTTATACACAGATTTTTTTTTTCAAGAAATGTACTACAGTATTGTAAATGTATTTTCTCTTCCTTATGGCTTTCTTAATAACATTTTCTTTTCTCTAGTTTACTTTATTGTAAGAATATAGTATATAATACATATACAAAATATGCATTAATTGACTGTTTATGTTATTGGTAAGACTTCCAGTTAACAGTAAGCTATTAGTAGTCAAGTTTTGGGGAAGTTAAAAGTTATGCATGGATTTTTAACTGTGTGAATGGTTGACACCCCTAATCCTACATTGTTCAAGGGTCAACTGTATATCCCTTAATTTCTAAGTGTTTGAATATTATCCTGTTATTTTTCTTTTATTGGTTTCTAGTTTAATTCTATGGTTAGAGAATATATGTTCAATTATTTTAAATTTGTTAAGGTTTGATTTATGGTACATGATATAACTGATCTCGGTGAATGTCCTGTATGTATGTACGTGAAAAGAATATGCTATTATTTACTTTCGGAGTCCTCATATAATTGTTTTATGCATTCTGCCCAGGTTTATAGCTGTATTCATGGAGAGAAACAGAGTGGATTATGCTTACTTCATTTTACTCAGAATTAGAGTCTTCCATGTCACTTTGCCGATACTTTTGATTACTGATAAATATTCTTTTCTGAAGTATTCTTCACAAGGGTCCATTTATGGTTCAAAAAACTATAAACTGGATAAAAGATTGATGGTGAAACTAACTTTGATTTCTTAATAAAATGCCATCTCTTCTTTTCTATAAAATGAGATAATTAATAACTTGTCCTGTGCCCTTTAAAGGCTTGTTGGTTAGATCTTAGGTGAGCATACATGCAAAATCTGCTCAAACTTTATTAGTAAGTTAGAGAAGTAAGTTAGATACAGTTACTAACTTTATCAATAAGTTAGGACCTGGATGGGTCAGGACTCAAGGAGGTGATTTGGCTGCAGGGGTGATGCATGGATGACCATCTAGGGTTTGTGGCTTGGTGTTAATGGCCAGGTTTTCAGTGGACAGATCATGGCAAAGGACATCTATCAACCGGGAATGAAGCAGGTGATAACAGCTTTGCGGTTACAGGAGGCTTATCCAGCTTGGAGCAAGACCTTACAAAATTCAGGTGACAAAATTCAGCCTTCTGGAAAAGAGTGCTAAAAAGCCCCGGGTTGAAGGTCGAAGCCCCAGCTAGGCTGGTGGGCTTCAGAGAGTGGCTGGGATCTGGGTATGGGCTATATATGGAATCAGGACGCTGAGGGAGAAATCCAGCCCTGTGGCCTGGCGAAATGTGCAGAAGGAAGGCCAATGTGATTCACAGATAATACCAGCCTTGGGGCAGCAGACCTAGTTTCAGCCTGTCACCTGTTGGCCTGGTGAGAGAATCATTGGTCAGAGCTGAAGCAGAGGTAAGGAGATCTTTAAGCCTATTAAACCTAGAGAATGCAGGCAGTGGAATGATTCATATTCAGGAGTTGCTGTTAAAGTGGTGACCACATGTTAACAATCGTTAATATTCTTGTGGATTACATAGAAATGAGTGTATATTTGAAACTCTTTGCCAGGTAGTATAGACATCCGAGTTGATATACCAGGAAACAATGGAATTAAATATGAGAGAAGCACTCAGACTTAAGAGGGGACGTATGAAAATGATTATACCGTAGGTAAAATGGATAGTGCAGAAAAGGCTGACTGGGAATTTATTTTTGTAAGTTGCGATCATCTGAAGCAAGGGCAGAGTCTGTTAAACACCATGGCAATAATCTAAAGCTAGGTTATAATTCAGACCATGAGAAACCATGCGTTATTAGGCAGGTTCCTTTGCTTTTTGACAGTTTCTCCATCCCTGAAAATATCCAGCACCTTCTCTCCCCAAGAAACAAGAACCAAAAATGTATGACTAGTCGCAATAATAAAATTCCAAGGGAGAATGCAAGACGATGTTAAATGAACCAGCCAACCTCCTCCCGCTAACCTTGGTACCTTTAGTCTGTCAAAACCAGCCTGCACAATCACATTTCCTTTTCAGTCTTCTTTATTCTAATTCATCACAGGACAGGACTGACCCTGGATTTGTATTTGCACACAGGTTATCTTTAGATTGGCTTTACCTTGATGACCTGACGCTGCCTCTGCCATAATCCAGTTACTCAGGGGAATATCAATTAAGGCCCTCAATCACGCTAATTAGAATGTCTTTTAAGTGTTGCCCTAGGAATTCAGCAGCGTATACACAGGCATATTGGGAAAATCTAGAGGTGTGAGTTTTGTTTTGTTTTCATAGCCAAAAGCAATTTGGGAGGAAGAGTGCTTTAGCATAGCTGAGTATTGGAGCTGAAGTTACTGTGCCCTGAATCTGCAATGAAATATCTAGTTGTTCTCCACTGACAATGATTAATGCAGAATTATTAATTACTTTTATTAATGAGTTGGATGAGGACATAGGTGGCGTGCTGATCAAGTTTATAGATGACACAAAGCTAGGAGTTAAACAAGTATTTCGATGGCAAGCTCAGGAGGCAAAATGATTTCAAGACAGAATTTAGTGGCAATCCATCCAATACAAGCCCAGAAGAAACGATCTCCAGAAGGCACAATTCGACAATCACATCAGTCTTCTAATCGGAAACCTTCAGTGGGTCCCTATTTTCTGTTCAAATTAAATCCCAAGTCCTTTGCTATTCAGGGCCTTGCCACATTCGATCCTACTACGGCCTGCCTTCCAACAAAGTCTTCTATAGTTCTTGTACTAATACCCTGTGCTTGAGCCAAACTGAATTATTTACAGACTATTTCCTTTTTATGTCCCATGCTTTGCCTATCTCTGAACATTATTACCCACGGAGTTTCTTTTCCCCACTTTCCTTCTGCTTCAATTCAGTTCTTGCTCACTCAAAAGCTACCTCTTGTACTTAGTCTTCTTTGATTGCCTAGGTTGGAATAATCTTTCTTTTGCTGATCTTCAATAACACTTATCTGTTCCTCTCTGTGTTTATCACTGTTTACTTTGTATAGTCATTATTTTTGTACCCATTTTAAGTCTCTGCTAGGCCTTCTTAGTGCTATAGCTTCTGTCTGAGAAATCTTTGCATATCTTATAGTGCCTCTGCATGTGTCTTCTTCATAGTTGATGATGATGAAGTGGTCTATCTCCTCTCCTGGGGAGAATTGCCTTTAGAGGAGGCTCTACCTCTTGCTCACCAGAGGCCCCGGCAATTGTATCAAAGAGACTTGTAAACAGAAAGTGCTTCACACATGTTTCATTGACTAAATGAATGACTGATAGAAGAGTTCCTTAAGTTAACAGTGTAAGTGTTGGAAGACAATGGTGGTGGTTAAGAAAGAAACCTTTAATCTCTGAGATAAAAATGGTTGTTTAGGATATAATAAACTCACTCGTAACTTTTTTTTAAAAGATTTATTTATTTATTTGAGAGAGAGAGTACATGAGAGGGGGGAGGGTCAGAGGGAGAAGCAGGCTCCCTGCTCAGCAAGGAGCCTGATGTGGGACTCGATTCCAGGACTCCAGGATCATGACCTGAGCCGAAGGCAGTTGCTTAACCAACTGAGCCACCCAGGCGCCCTCACTTTTAACTTTTGAACAGTCATGCTAAAGAAGGAAGCACAAATATGAACTAGAGATTTGTGGTGATGTGTGGGCAAGAGAGGTGAATGCTGTTGGAAACTTGCATTGTCCTTTAAAGTGACGATGGACTCTGGATTGCTTAGGCAGTACCAGTTTATACCTTTTGTTTCAGGGGCACCCTCTTCCAGGTGTCTCATTTTAAGTGCTATTATTTGGCCACCCTATTTATCAAATACCTCTTTGCACTTTTCAAGATGGTGGGTCCTTTTGGTGGTGAAACTTGTGCCATGGGCTTATGTTGGCCAGAGGTGGGTACAAATCTCATCTCTGGCACTTAACTAGAAACGTGATCAGGACAAGTTACCAAGACCTCTGTAAGCACTCTTATGTGGCTGCTGTGTTCAAAACAGCGACAATCTTGAATATGGAATTTTTCAGTAATATCCACGTGTCAGTATTTATAACCTTATCAAGATTTTGTCAGGGGGAAGATATGTCTAGGGCAGTAGGGAAATAAATATTTCACAGAGTTGTTAAATCTCTAGATCTTCCGTATTAGAGATCACACAACCAAATGTAAGGACAGAGTTCTTGCTAGTTGGCTGTTTCAGCTAGTTATCAATAGAAAGGCTAACGGTCACAAAAATTAGACTCCAGCCTCAACATTTGTCTCTTCCAGGGAGAAGAGGAGAGCAGGCACAGCAGAGCATGAGGTTTAGGTATTTCCCTTTACTCTAAATTCAGAGTGTGGCGGACTATAGACCAAGTCTGCATCCAGGATTTCTAGACCTTCTATTCATCACTAAGAAGGAGAAGTGTCTGGATCATAAAATATTTCCAATTGGGAACAAACCACAAGAATGCTAAGGAGGGGAAGAAGATCAAATTTATCTGCCAGAAATGTGACTCCTGGTGAAAAAAATCAAGAGGAATATTTTTCTTAAGGAGGCAGTTGTAGTTGAATGATAAAGAGAGAGTTCTGGAGCCTGACTGCTGGAACTTAATCATTATTCTCCCACTTTCTAGGCAAAAGATGTTGGTTATGTTATTTAAACTTGTCTCAGTTTCCATATCTGTAATATGGGTATTAAAAAAAAAAACCAGTCTTATTGGTCGGTTCCTGCAATTAAATCTGTTAATATTGTAAACATGTTAGAACAGTTTCTTGTCCATCGTTAGCTTGTGTATGCAGTAATTATTACTTAAGCTCTTGAGAGTGGTAAGTACTCTCCCTTAACTTTGTATTTATGTTGACAGGATGGGACTTTTGTGGTGTGTGATGAGTCTCTACTTCTATGGGATCCTTCAAAGTGATGCCTCAGGTAAGCGAATAGCTTTTGACAATCTATTAAAATATGAATTACCTATAACATGTTAATTCTTTCTGAAAAATGAGTTAAGACTACATGATGTTTATATCCATTGTCTTCTGTGGTAGCACAGAATCATAGATGTGACAGAATCATAGAATTTTGGTGATGATACCTCTAGTCTTCAGGGGACACTCTGTACTTGGTTGGGGCAGTGGCCTGGTATGTATAAATACAGGAATTTTCCATCACCTTCACATCCAGACCATCTAGAATCCTGCTTCTCTCCCTTTACCTCAGGTCTACAGTGACGGTAGCGTAACTCTGTTTTCCAAACTTCAGCCAGTGGTGGAGGAAGCATTGAGGCTAATAGTCCATTAAGATCTTTTAAGAACAAATGAATAATGATGGGTTTCTGTCATACTGCTTCTTTCTAGGAGAGAAGGGACCTACCATTAGGCTCTTTTTTTTTTTTTTTTTTCCTTTGGTTGTTGCTTCTTAAGAGAAACCAGCCAAAGCTTGAGTTTGAATAACCAAATTCAGTCATCATGGGTCTGGATCATATGAAATCAGAGTCACAAGGGATTTGAAAATCCATCTTTTCAGAGCTCCTCTCATCTCTAGAATTACTGCTCAGAACCAGTCTGTGGTAACTGCCTAGTGATCACCTATCTAATTGCAGTCCATATGTCTTTGGACTGACCAAGTTCTTAGAAAGTTTTTAGTGCATATAATTGAAATTTATTTTTTGTCATTTCCACATTTCTCCAGTTCAACTGCTTGATTTTTAGTAGAAAATACTCAGTCCAGTGGTTCTCTAATTTTAATTCAGGGAACCTAGATATCTTTGAAAAAGCTTCTCATGTATAATTCCCCTGAAGACCACAGACGATACTTTAAATATCATTACTTTAATTCCTCTTCTGTATGAGAGGTCTTCAGAAATGTTAAAATAGTGACGGTATAGCCATGACCATGTTTTCTGATATATGTCTTCAGTTGTTCTTCACATGGCACGGATTGGAGCCCTCTCATCCTGATTATCCTTTCTGGGTATGTTTCAGTTTTTCTATACCACCTAAATACCATTTTATTGCTTTAAGTGGTAAAGACCAAAAATAACACTAAAGGAGAGGTATAGCTAGGACAGAGTACAGCTCAAAGCTGAGAGAAGTGGAGAGAACTTCCAACCTTGTTGGCCCTTTTCGCAAGGAAAGCATATTTCCTAATCTGGGCTGGTGTTCAGCTGAGATGTACTCGGGCACAGATCTCCTGGCTATTTAGACCAGCGTCCGTCCTGCTTGACCGAGTGTCCCATCTGACTGGTCAGTGACGGTGATGTCCTGATTTTTAAATATGTTAAATATAACCCCTGATTATTATTAGTTCTTATTTGATTTAGTTCAGTGCTTGAATATTATCTGCTTACAGAGGCCTGATTTAATTAACTGCCTTAGCTAAAATAACCCCCCTGATCACACATCTCTGTATCCACCTGTAGTTTCCCTCCTGACACTCATCATTTCTTGACATTATATTAACTTTCTCTCATCTCCTCCTCCCCTGCTTTTCCTTCTTTCTGTTCTTTTTCCTTCCCGTCTTCCCCCTCTCCCTTCTTTCTTTCTCTCTCTTTCCTTCCTTCCCTTTCTCCTTCCCTCCCTATTTCGCTGCTTGTAAACTGTCCAAGGACAGGGACTTATCCTCTTTGTTACACAAATACTTAGAATAATGATTGGCACGTAGACACATAGTAGGCGCACGCTCACTCTCTCTCTCTCTCTCTCTCTATATATATATATATTATAAATGGATGGATATATATATGCATACATATTATATATATTATATATAATATGTATTATAAATATAATATATATAATAAGTGGGTGGAAAAAATCCCTTCACTTCCCTTTTTGCCAAAATTGGCCAATTTTATAATGGGACTTGTTTGGATTCATACCAGTAATTCATCAGTGTAGTTTTATGTCCTGCCTTACCTTGAAGGAAAAGGGAGAGGTGACCATGTTATGCTTGTTGAGAGATCAGTGACATCCCAGAAGTTTCTGGGTGCTAGCGTCTCCCCAGCAATCCTGGCAATGTTGCCTTTCTGAATGACCTTTACTGTAATCCATCCAAGGAGGTCCCCTGCCCCCACCCCAAATGCTATTGGAAAGTGAGCTTTTCTACCCAGGAACTGTGACTCATAATTCTGCCAGGGAAGCTGACTTCTTGAATAAGATAAGTTCTCATACCAGCCCCATTCAGTCACCATGGGAGCAGGAAACATGTTGTAATCCCCTCGGCCCATCTGGCACATGCTCATTTGCCTTCCTTATGAAAAGGTATATTGTGTCTGTGTCAGTGATGCACTTCCTAGTTGGAGGAAGAGGAACAAAAAGGAAGTGTTGTTGACAAAAATAAAAGGGACGACTAACTCTGGGCTACGAGGGGACAGAAGGGACCATTGCACATTTTGAGGGAATCAATGAACCTCTCGTGCATCAAGGTATCACTTCTTACAATGATATAGATGCTGGCAGACTCGTTGGCCTTTCATGAAGTTCTTCCTGTGCTTCAGGTACCCATCTTAGTGGAATCACAGAGTGATGTGAAGAACAAAGGAGAAATAACCAGAAAACCCTAAAGCACTGTACATGCATATATTAGTAGGTATTTTGTCTGGTTGTTCTGGGCCTTTCTATGTAGACCCTTCTCCTAAGAGAAGCCCCACATTTAAAAAAGAAGCCATATGAACATAAGAGCTTTAGTTCCATGCATTTTTTTAATTTAATTTTTTTTTTTTTTTTTTTTTTTTTTTTGAGAGGAGGGTGTAAATAATAGCATGTGCATGAGTGGGGATGGGGGGTGGGGGGGCAGAGAAAAGAGGGTGAGGGAGAAAGAGAATGAAGCAGACTCCCCACAGAGTGCAGAGCCCAATGCAGGGCTCGATCTCCCAACCCTGAGATCATGACCTGAGCCAAAATCAAGAGTCAGCCACTCAACCAACTAAGCCACCCAGGCGCCCCCCCCCATGCAGTGTGTTTTAAGTGCAGTGAACTGGACTTTAAGGCACAGACTTCTGACTCCAGAACACAGTCTTTCTTGTAGCAGTACTGTGATTTCCTTTTTTGTTCAGGAAAGTGGGAGCAACCTTTTCATCTCAGGTGGCCATAAAGGCAAATACTTAAAAGCAAGCATTTACTTTTAAGGAATTAAAGCTTGGATAATTATAATGGTGATAATATAATTACAATGTGGTAGTTATAATGGTAATAATAAAGCTTCCTTCCCTGAGAAAGCACTTTGAATTTTCGATTTCATTTGACTCTGACACTCAAACGAACCCCATTTTGGGGAAAAGAAAATTAGGATCAGAGTGGTTAAGTGAATTACCACAAGTCACACAGCTAACACACAACATAACTGTGACTTCAACTAGTTCCTCTGTTCTCAAGATGCATGCTATTTTAGCTAAATATACTCCCGCTGGACTCCATTAGGATATACACAATTTTTTTTTTTAAAGATTAAGATTCAAGGGGTCATAGGTTAAAGAACCATTCAGTAATAGATTTCTGTGCTTTTTAGATAAGAAGTATCTTCCCTCCCAATTCCCCTCCTTAGGTGGTTTCTTCAGGAGGAAAATCACTGTAATGTAAGCTCAAAATTCAATATCCCCATTTTTGCTTGTTGTAAATTGAACATTTCCAATGCTAAACTCAAAGAAGTTCTGCTTTGCAAGAATTCCAAAAGGAAACTTAACTTGTCACACATTTCTCCTGTGGTGTGTTCCATTGGCAGCATGTTAGAAAGTTGAAGTGTTAAAACTGCCTTTAGCGTAGAAAAAATATTTGCAACTTGTGATTCCAAGTCAGGGAGAGGGTGAGAATGGCACCATACATAATATGTTGAATTAAAAAAAATATTACCATATCAAAAGTATTTATTACAGAGACCACGTTAAAAAGAGCAATGGATTTTCTCTCCCAAGCGCACACACACAGATCTTTGAATATAGCTTTTTATTTCAAAGTCAACAAACAGTTGACCATGCGCCAGGTACAGGGTTAGATTTCACACACATTATCATTAATGTCACAGAAGATGCTGGGTGCTGGGGATGGGGGGAGTGGGTAGAGAGTCTTACACACATTTATAGTTCAGGAAAAGAAGAGCCAGGGAAGTGACCTAAGTGAACAGTGCTCATGGTGGCATGTCTGATAGAGCTAGGTTTTGAAGGCTACCTCAATTCCAAAAACAGAGCTCTTTCCTTTAAACCACATTGCCTTCTTTTAGGACTTTGTTCTGCTAATAGCGGTAAGATCCCATGATTTCATTTCTATTAATTTTGAGGAATTTGCAGAGGGTGGAAATAATCTTTTGGCTTATCAAAAGTGAATAACACTATGCAAAATAAATAAGTAAAAACACTGGCTTATCAAGAGTCATTGCTTAAAGTTCTGACTGTTTCACTTTACGAGTGTTTAATGACATTAGAGAAGTCATTTAATCACTCCTGGTCACTGTGACCTTATCTATAAACCCAACCAACCAACCAACAATAGCAAAGCTCTGGTCAATTCTGCTTTCTTGCATTTTTATTCAAGAGCATTATGGTCATTATTATATATTGTGAACATACATGGTGTACACTCCTCCTATTATTTAGTTAAGCAATTTCTAATGACAAGTGTTTGTCTTACAATGGTTTTACCTTAGTCTAAAGATTGTGTGTTTGACAGTTTTATATTACAGAATCCAGGGTAAATAAGGGAAGGCTCTTATGGAAGTATCTTCCAGTCAAGTTTGACAGAAAGAAGAGAAAATAAGTACCAAAAAGAATGCCATGATAGAGGAGAGAACATTACTAGCCTTGTAGGGAGGTGTTGGAGAACACATCTCAATCAAAGAACAAATGCTCTTTTCTAGGAGAAAATACATCTCTTATTTGGGAATGGAACAGTGCAGTGTGACTAAGGGATGGCATGAGGGTATTTAGAAGCCAAGCTGGG